GCGGGGCGGGGGGTGGTCTGTGGCGCTGCCACGTTGGCACACCGCGGAGTTTGGCGGGAGCTGGCAGTGCCCAGGTGTCTTTGGCATAGCGGCCCTAGACACCAAGGCCTGCAGGGGCCTGGGGCTCACCCTGCCTCACCGGCCAGAGGGCCCACGGCTGTTGCTGGAGCAGCCTGACTAGAGACACATCCAGTGCGGAGTCCCAGGGAGCCCCCCAGGGCCCAGTGCCTCTCCCTGCCCTGCGCAGCCTCCGGGCCCGACCCTCGGGCCCCTTCTGGCCACGGCGCCGCTCACCTTCGCTGCAGTGCTCCTGCCTCTCTCCTTCCTGTCCCTGCTGGACGGCTCCTTCCTCTCGCTCGTCCTCTCCTGGCTCCCGTGCCGCCTTCCCCGGCCGTTGGTCGGGGACGACGCTGCCTCTCGGCCCGCGGGGACTTCCTTCTGCAGAGCACGGGTACGAGAGGCTTAGCCAGAGCAAGTGGCCGGGGGGCGTGCCGGGCTGCAGCTGGGCAGGGAGTGCGGCCGCTGGGGATGTTTTCCACCCCAGACCCATGGGGCCCTCTGCCCGGGAACAGCTGCTGGCCGAGGGCGTGACGCACACTGCGGCAAGGTCACTGAGCCAGCTCCAAGCCCCTCCCCCTGCCAGTCTGGTTCCGACTGTGCCAGGAAGGCAGAGCTTGGCTATTGGGGCACCGCCCGCAGCCAGCCCCTCGGCGCTCCCCGCCCCGCCTCTCACCTGCGTCCTGGGGTCGTAGTACAAGCCGGCGATGGGGTCGTAGTAGTTCCCGGTGTCGGGGTCGTAGATGAACGTGGACACGTCCGACGGAGCTGGAGGGGAGAGCAGCAGCAGATTGGCCCGGGAGAGCGTTTACCCAAAGCAGGCGTGTGCCGTGCTGGGCCCCACCCGGCCCTGGCTTTGGAGGGGCCAGGCTGGGACCACCCCGGGATCTGGTCCATTGCCAAGGGTTTGGGACCCGGCCCGGACCTGGGCTCCGAGTGTCTCCTGTGGCACAAAAGCTGCTCCAAGAGGCAGGGAAGTCGGCTGGCCCTAGGGGCTCCACAGGGCGTTTACCCAAAGCAGGCGTGTGCCGTGCTGGGCCCCACCCGGCCCTGGCTTTGGAGGGGCCAGGCTGGGACCACCCCGGGATCTGGTCCATTGCCAAGGGTTTGGGACCCGGCCCGGACCTGGGCTCCGAGTGTCTCCTGTGGCACAAAAGCTGCTCCAAGAGGCAGGGAAGTCGGCTGGCCCTAGGGGCTCCACAGG